GCAAGGTGCCCTGGCAGAATGCTATCCACACTCCCCTGGGCTGCCATGCATAACACCCACTGCGGAGGAGCAGCCTCTTTTACCAGGATAGCACCGCTGGGCAAAGTGCCCTAAGGTGAGCCTGGGTCCACCCCCTCTGCCTCACCCACACTGCTCTTCTCCTTAACTAATATAAAATTGCTGTCAGGATTTGGCCCTATTATTTTCCAACCCTCCACAGGGGCTGAGCCCTGGGACAAACCTGGGCTCCCAGACAGAAAGATGGTGGGGCTCACTGGACTGATGGGACTTTTACAGCTTTTGGGGCTTTTGGGGCTAGGCTATCAATGCCCTGAATAACTAGCCCAGAAGAAGAGCCTTGGGGTCCAGCAATTACAAGTCCAGAAGAAGGAGCCTGGGACTCACTGACTACATACAAGCCTGGATAATTGGCTCCATGAGCCCCATCTACTAGAAGAACCATTTTCTGTACCTGTGGTTGAACTACATAGTGCATGGGCTGTAGTACAGGGCTGGTGGTGATGTAAACTGGCTGCTGTGGCACAACATTCTGAACTGGGGGGGGGCAGAGTAGCAGAGGGACTGATGTTAGAAGAATGAGTACTGTTGGTAACCTTGGGGCGAGGAAGTGTCATAGACTGCGGGGCAGCGCTTACAGTACTGGCAGAAGACTTGGAGATGTTAGCTGCGGACATCACTTTCTCTGCCTTTGTGTCACTATGCTGTGTTGTTTCAACAGCGTGCTCACCCATGGGCTTAACAAGAGGTTTAGCAATATCAACAGTGGTTTTGACAGCACCTACGGTTTTGTATGTCAGGGAGGTTTTTTGTGCAGGAGGGGAACAGATCTCAGCCAGAGTCTTGAACTTTGGCCCAAGGTCATCGAGAAACTGTAGGTCGTTGTTAGACTCTAGGAGGCTGCAGCAGTCCACTAAGCCAGCAGAGGAGCCCTCATCTTCAAGCTCATACTCCAACACACCATCCTTCACTGGCACATTGCACGCAGCTTTCTGTTTAGGCCAAAGACATTGTACAAACACTGGTGTCATTAAACTCTGAACATAGATTTCTATGTAGAAAATCTGGTTTAACCACGGCTTGTAAAACTAACTAGTAATAGTACCTGTGAGTAGTAATCACTGAGGAAAGCGTACGGTAGGGCCATGTCCTCATACAGAGATATTGTGTTTTGGGTACCAAATGTTTGTCTGCTGAATGTAGCACCACCACTGCCATGGTTGAATGACTCCCCTGAAAACCTGTAGGTATTGTCAAGCTCCATCACATCATGGCTGCTTTCCTGAAACTTCTGCACAGATTCACTGTAGAATGTAGCCGTCTGATGGGCTTCTGCGATTTTTGAAGGGATGTTGCTGTTAAGTGCTGATGCTGTCTCATCCCTCCTTTGCATACCCAACATGACAGGGATACTTTGAAGTGGTAATTCCTTAAAAAGAACAGAAAAATGTACCTATCAACACATATTATGTAGGATCATGACATGGTAATGTGGATGTTGTATCAAAAAAAAGCATAGAGGTCACACTGGGCCATTAGGATCCGATCCATAAAATACCACTCTATATTTTTAATTTTAAAGCAGTGATGTCGTACATTTTGAAAACAAAAGTTTAACTTCTCACTGAGTTTGTCCTTCTGGCCTCAGTGGTGATGAGAGGACTGAGGCTAGATTGGATTAACTGGATGAGACCTTGTGTAGGGCTCGTTTCATTTGTGTTGCGTGATTTTACCTAACGTTAGCTAATTAATCTTGAAAGCCTTATTGAAAAGACACCCAAAAGCTCAGTAAACAAGAGTCCTCAGACAGCACATGTACCTCCACCAAGGCACAACATTCGCTCACACAAATGGGTCCCTTGTGAAAAATTTGATCCAGAGCAACACAAAATGTGTCCTAAAATCCTTGATCCAGATCAGATCCGGATCATCTTTTAGGCTTTGACAGGCAGTTATGCTGTGCATCTTACCTGAACATTTCAGGGTTCTAGCTTCATTACAGGCCACGTAATGGCAGGAGATATGTATTAAATGGGGTTTTCAATGTTAACTTCAAATGGCTGACAGATCTGGAATCTGGATCAGATCTGGATGAAACTTGTTCTGGTGATAAACATTGCCACCCAAAATAATTTTGATAACTTTTGAAGTATGATTTTTTTAAAAATTTTGTCCCATGTTAAAGATGGGAATTTTGTGTGTATGATTTTTTTTCATTACTTTTTGTGACCTTGACCTTTGACCCTTTTCACCCAAAATTGAATCACTTCTATGGTTGGTCACCACCAATGTCTGTGTCAAGTATCCTGATGATCCATCCAGCTGTTTGTCTGTAATCCTGCTAACCAACACACGAGGAACCAAAAACATAACCTCCTTGGCAGAGACAAAAATTTCAGCCCACCTTATCTTCACCTCTGCCTTCAGTGTGGTAGGATATGAGGTGATCTTTGGCATCAAATGGCAAATCATTAAATTGGTCAGGAAAGATGGTGTCTGCTCCGCCACACTGGCAGAACAGCAGGAGAAGTGGAATGACTGCAAACAGAAGTAAAACATTCAGAGCGATGTCAAGTGAATTAAAGAAAAGCTCAAAAGTTTTGTCAAGACGTTTAAGGGGAGTAAAAACATAACCTATAAAGTACATATCAGCATTTTAACTTTTTGTAGCAGTTACAAATATAAATTCTACTTTTGAGAACTGTCTAATGTTAAATTTATGTTGAGTCATGTTTTCTCTGTGCTTACTTCTCAAATGCAAAGCGTTCTGTGCTGGATAGGCAATACTCATTTAACAATTTTTGAGTAGTCCACTAGCTACACTCATTAGAGATGACTGAATTTAAATGAAAAAAAAAATCTTTGTTTAAAACTGGCTGTGTGATCATTTGGTGTTGTGAAAATGTGTAAGAGTGTGCTTGCTAAAGCTCAACTCACACAGTAGTAAGCATAGTGACGTCAGTAGTAGGCCGATGGCTGGGGCAGAGAGAGCTGACGAAGTACCTCCTACTCTGGCTACACTCTGTAAGCTGCAGTCCTTTGTTTCCACACAGGTACAAACGTGCACAGTAAAACCCTCTTCGGCCGGGCAGGACACACCCTGAGCATCTGCCACTTCCAGATGTAGCTCATATGAGCCAGGCCATAGCATCTTTTTAGCGTGAACAGCAGCGGTTGTCTCTGGGGATGATATAGGACAGAGCACAATGTATTATCATTGTCTATATTAGTTGATACTAGTAGTACAGTAATACTACTACTTGTTAAAGACAAATCTTTTGTTTTGTTTAAGCTGTGGTGTTAAGTATAGGAATGCTTTTCTGATTTTTTTGTGCAACGTATTGTTTTAGGACTTTTGTTTCGTTATTTCCTGTGTGCACAGAAGTTTTATTTGAAAGGATAAGAACGGAAGAAAAAGGAAAAAAACGATGGTAGAAAGATATGGCACTTAAGGACAACACGGACTGCACAAAGGTGACAGAACAGCGGAAAGGGACTTTATTTTGCTATTTAGCTCCAGTCAAGGCTGGCAACAAGGTTTGCTTTACATTTAGAATGTTTAGAATATTATTTGATTTGATGTATATAAGCTAGCTAACCAGCCATTGATTTAGTTTGTCATTGAATTAAGTGTGGTCCTACATGGTTTTAATTTATGGTTTTGTCTTTTATTTTCTTTAGCTCTTACGCTGGTTTGTGAAATTAGACTATTGACATCCAAATAAACTATCAAACCATCAGTGAAGACCCTACGTATTTGACTGGAAGCTACACTACTACTACTTCTACTATATGCCACCATTACAGGTACGTACATCGAATAGAATTTGTAGTCCTTATGGATATGTCATAGATACTGTATAATCACATTTTGCTGGCACAACACTTCAACTTTGTATGAAGATCCTTGCACTTAACAAAAGAGTGATCTGAATTTGTTGATCTGCATTTTAAATTGGCTGTGCTATATAAAGCTTAGCTGAATAATTTTCAATATAGGCAAATTATGTCTTGATTGGTTAGACTATAACAAGCTCTTGCTAGAGGAGAAATGATACTTTCACTGATGTATTCATGTTGTCCTCTGACACTAAACTAAGTACATTGTCTTACCATTGATAACTTCTATGTCCCAGCTGCCTTGTGTCCCATCAAGTATGATTCTGAAGGTGAACGAAGCAGCATTGGGTCTAACGTCTTCATCAGAACCAGTGAAATAAACAGTTCTTTCATCAGAGCACAGACTACCGTGGGTGGTGGTGAGGGTGGGACAGTGGTCGTTGGAGTCGGTGACTTGAATGACTATTGTTCCCGTGGCAATCGTCGTTGGCATGTCTGAGGAGTACAACAGTGTAGTCAGTCTGTGAGGTCACACCAGCATAAAGCCCCACTTTTGTAAAGGTCTATTCAGTAGTGAACAGGAGACACGTTTACAGTAGCTTTACCCAAAATCAGAGACTTGAACATTATTCTTCAGCATTTATCTGCCAAAACTAACTGCTTCGCAAGCAAATTCATATGATATTAAAAAATATCATTTAAATATCATTTTCTGACAACAGTGGTATTACAAACATTGGAACAGACCTCGGTTTAACCTCAGTGGTTTTTGTAACCATGTCAAAATGTTTCTTCCACATAATTTATATGGCCTGTTAAAACTAGCAGCGGATGTACATTATTTTGCCTCTGGGCTTCTTCTCATGCTATAGCTGACACACCTTGAGTCAAACGGTGGTTTGGCAGGTTCTGTCAAACACATCTATGAACTGTTCCTCCAACTCATAGAGGTGATAAATCTGGTTCAGAAATGTAAAACGCTGACCTAGTTAGAGGGTCCTTCAGCATGGAAGCCAGAGGCTGTTTAAACAGAAATTTATCGAGAGGATAGAAGTGAAACCTTATTGTTGACAATACTGTTACCTTTGCTTATGGCCAGAATCTTGGCAATGTAGGTACCGTTCACCAAGAATGGAGATTCTCTGTCTGGCACTGTGTTAAGTTTAATCTCAGCTGTTTCTTCATCAATGGTAAACCAGTTGCCTGGATCATAGGCTTTGGCATAACTGAAGCACAACAAATGAAATTGGAAAATTAAGTGAACAATGAACAACAAGAAAAGTAACAATAAGCAGCAGTAAACTGAACCAGAGGAACAGTGACTTCATCAGTCACCAGCTGAAAGCTACATAAGAAGATCATGATCTCTCTCAAGCCTACTTGGTTTTACATTCTTCTGCTCTTTATAAATACTTGCTTATTTTATTATCTGTGAAGGTGGATAAGGAAATTCTTGGATTAGGGTTCTTGAAGACCAACAAATCAATCACCTAGAAGGAGTTGTGTGGAGTGAGCATAGCTGCACATCTTGGTGTTTGAAATGTGGAGACGCACGCACTGGCTACACATACCGCAAGTAATTACGTGACTGTGAAGTTTGAGGGTGCACATGGGATACAGATGTAACCCACCATAAGAATATAGACTGCTTAAAGCTCACTGCCTCACACAGTGTTCCGCTCCTTTCAGTCTTTATGCCAAGCTAAGGAAAATTTTATCAGTCTTCTTATCTAACTTAAATCAAGAAAGAAAAACATTTGTTTCCCAAAACTATAATCTTAAATCATTACCTCAAATAACACTTTGGTCCAGACAAAAAAGTCTCAACAACTAATAAATATATTTCAATGAAAGTATTTGCATCCCTCTAACTCTTGTTAGCCTCAGGCTTTTCATATAATGCCACCATGAGGTTGATAGTTTTGGTTTTGTGTGAAATGTCTTGGATACTTTGTTTTCAAGAATCATCATCAGTGGGTCAAATTTGTAATGTGCTGAACACTTTGGTTTATGTACATGCAAAATACCTGCAAAATTAATGGCATTCTCACCAGCCTCAGCTGCTAGCTTGGCTGTAGACTCTTCCTTTTTTTTAACCACTATTAGCTGCAGCCAGTGTTGTAACACTTGAGTCCAGGACTAATAGAATAATAATTTGATATTGAAGATATTGATATTAAAACCTGTTCACACCACACTGTATTGTTGGTATCCACTCGCATCAAGTGTACAGTCCACCTTTCTATAAATGATTCAAATTGCTGAGCAATATGGTAAGGCAATACACAAGAGGTTCCATTAACCAAATATTTTCAGTATTTTTTTTTTTTTTTATGACAGAAAAATGTGAAGTCCATCCATCATTTTGGCAGATTAGAACACAGAGGGTGATCTACACTACCCTGTCACTTAAAATTAGGTTATAAACTACTAAAAAGCCCAAATAGTCGATATGGCATTGATAAATGATAAAAAAAGAGGAACTGATGCAGTGGATGAAGGATAACTGAGACCTTCTCAGTGCACCTCGCTATCTGGGAGCTGTCAGCCCGTTGAAGAGCCACAGACCAGAGGCGATAGAGTGACCACAGAGGGGAGCAGCTGCGCCTCTGGTGCAGAAGGAGTGCATGCAGCAGATTCCTTCTGGTGAAGTGAGTGACTAACCTGACATCTTCAGCTGGTTTCCCTGTGTCTGGATCGACAGCAGCAAACACTGTGATCACACTGTCCTTAGGGATTTCCTTCGGATCTTCTGATACAGGAACTTTCTTGGTGTTCGGTATGAATGCTACTCCCTCTGGTACATTATTCACTGCTATCTTAACTGGATAGCTTTTTGGTAGTGCTTTTGGTTTTGGCGTTGTTCCTGGTCCCGGTTTGACACCTGGTTTAAGTCCAGCACCTTCTCCAGACTTAACACCAGGCCCAGCACCAGGCTTAGCCCCAGATCCAGGTCCGGGTCCAAGGTCAGTGTCTAGGCTACCGTCTACGCCTACTTTCACACCTGCATCCACCCCAACATCTACTCCCAGATCTGCCCCTGCCCCTGCACCCACACCAGCTCCAACTCCAGCACCAGGTCCAGGTCCAGTTCCAGGATCACCCTCTCCAACCTGAATGTCCACATCCATCAGATGTCACGTTTGGCGTGTACAGATGCCAAACAGAGGATGTGGTGAACTCAATTAAATAACCAGACGAACTGAGGTAACGAAAAGTTCTTTACTAGTAAACAAAACTGACAAAAGTCCAGGATATCGCTTAGGTCGATAAGACAGTCCAGGGTCGGCGCCGGTTAACAGGTATATCCAGGGGATCCAAACTCGAGGTCAAGGGGAACAAAAGCAGAAGGTCGGTACACAGCAGGCGATCTGAATCTGAGAGGGCATAGACAAAACACGGTGGTCAAGAAACGGTAATCCTAGGTCAAACACAGAGAGTCAGGCAAGGGATAAATGCTGGAGAGTCAGAGCTGGGGTCTAGAACAATCTGGCAGCGTCCTGGTGGGAGGACGCTGCCTAAATAGAAGGGAAAAACAGGTGCAAACAATAAGGAGCAGGTGAACTAATGATGATTAAATAAAAGGGCCAAAAGTGAGGTGAAACAAAACAGGAAGTGATGAGAAAATAAAAGCCTGACAGGAAGCAAGAGGGGCAGGAGCGTGACATCAGAACAGCATCACCTTTGACAAAAGGAGCAACATTCTCGACCAGAATGCCCAGCTCAAGAGTCTGGACTTCTTCAAAGTCCAGAGGCTGTTTGGTTTGGGATGGAAGGTCAGTAAGGTCGAGGGAAAAGACAGAATCAGCAAACACACTTAGAAAAATTCAAGTACAAAAATACCCAACATCAGCTATTAATTCAAATCAAAAGAAAACAATATACCAACATATTTAATACCTTGATCACTTTCAGGATGCCTTCATTGGTTTTTTTGTCTGCCTCAATGGAGAAGATGTTATGTTGATTCAACACATGTAGCCTAGAAATGTACACAAGTCTTAAGGTCAGTTTTCTGTAAACAACACTTGTGAACACTGCAAACAGATAACATCAGCTGTCTGTGAACACCAGACCAAAATCACTCATTGCACTGAAAGACAGAAGGGTAAAGGATATTGGCCAAGAGTCACTAGATGGTCAAAGTATAAAGAGACCAGGCTGTGGTTATGGTCTTTCTCATATAGCTGTCATCATGTGATGTACTAAACTCAGCCATGACACCTGAGAAGCAGCTGGAATTGTAGCTATGAACCTTAAGATAAGGTTTTGATGCGTAATGTTCTCAAAGATCAAAATTAACTTTTATCCTCAAATAAACTGTGGACATAATCAGCTTAGATCCCCCTGCCAGATTCTTGTCAAAACTTGTTTATATAGCATCAAATTTGGAAAAACACACACTGAATTACAGGAGGAAATGTATATTAAAATGTATTGAGTAAAAATTACTTGAAGATGCTATAATTTGATTATCCAGATGAGGCAATTCAAAGCAAGTTGGTGGAAAATTGGTCTAAGACTGTATGAGTAAAAATGTCTCAGAACAATGTCTGCTTCTGTAGCAATTTCACTCTGCTGGTAGTCTGATTATTTAATCATCAGTGTTATCAATAAAACCAAAAATATCAAATGCTAAATAGGCCACGATCCATCTCCTTCTCCCCACTGTTTTTAAAATAGTTAGGAAGCACTGAATGTTGGGGAAAGGAGATAAATTACGATCCATTTGGCTTTCAGTAGAAAATTATCCCGAAGATGTCAGTGGTATCTTAGCAAACTGACATTTATGTTGCATTCCAGTGCAGGATAGTATTTTGGATCTTGAGCTATACTGTTGGTAACAAGTGAAAATCCAAAATTGGGGCTGAAATCCTGCCCCCCACCCCTTATAAAATTGTTATTTAATTTAATTTAATCGCAAATAACTTCATTATTTTGACCTGTTTTTAGAGCTAATAAGGCATTTTTAAAGAATCTGAAAGTTGTAGTTATTATTCATTAAGTGCAGTGCCAATGACCTCAGCCCAACTGCTTCATCAGAGCTGGTGGGTGTGGTTTTACTGCTGACTTGGACAAGGGATATTGTTGGGCGGTGGAAGGAACACTTTGGGGATCTCCTGAACCCATCTAATATGCACCTCATAGGAGGAGGCAGAGTTGGAAGACTTTGGGACAGCCTTACCCATATCTCTGGCAGGGGTCTGTCTCTAAGATAGTCAAAAAGCTTCTCCAGGAGTGGATGACATTCACCTTCAGATTTTTAGGCTCTAGACATGGTTGGGCTGTCTTGGTTGACATGCGTCTTCAGTGTCGTATGGAGGATGGGGACAGTGCCAGAGGACTGGGGTGGTGGTTCCAATTTTTAAAAAAAGGGGACTAGAGAGAGTGATCCAACTACTGGGGTCTTGCACTACTCAGCCTCCCTGAGAAACCCCATGCCAGGGCACTGGAAAGGAGGCTCCAGCCAATTATCAAACCTTCCTCAAGATCGTCCCTTGTCACAGATCCTGTTTGTGAGTTTCATGGACAGAATCTCAAGGCACAGCCTCGAGGAGGAAAGTATCCAGTTTGGGGACCTCAGAATTGCATCTCTACTTTTTGTTGATGACGTGGTTTCGCTGGCTTCATCAGATCATCATCCCCAGCACACACTGGTGTGGTTTGAAGCTGAGTGTGAAGCCGTGGGGATGAGAGTTAGCACCTCCAAATATGAGGCCATGGTGCTCTACCAGATAACGGTGGATTGCTCCCTCCAGGTTGGGAGTGAGTTGTTGCCTTAAGCATAAGATCATGAATAAAAGTGACGAAAATGAGTTTCCTTTGCAGGGTGACTGGACTTAGCCTTAGAGATAGGGTGTGATGTTCAGACATCTGGAATGGACTTGGAAAAGAACCGCTGCTCCTTCACATCAAAAGGAGCCAGTTGTGGTGGTTTGGGCTTCTTATCAGGATGCCTTCAGGGCACCTCCCTTTGGAGGTCTTCCAAGTACATCTAACTGGTAGGAGGCCCCAGGGCAGACCCAGAACACAACGGAAAGATAACATATCTCATCTTGCCTGGGAACACCTTGGATTCTGGAGAACATTGGAGGTGGAGAACGTTGCTGGGGAGAGGGATGTCTGGACTATCTTGCTGAACCCGCTGCCACCACGACACAATCTACTACAATTCTACAAGTGGTAGAAAATGGATGGGTGGATGGATGTACACACAACACAACAACCATCAATTGGATTTTGATTTATGTTGTTAAACTTTAATTGGTTCAGTGAGACATGCAACATCAAATCTTTCTTAATGAACCATGTCTATTTCAGATGACTGAGAAAGGCCAAAGAAAAGCAGAAATACAGATCTGAAACATGTTCAAGTAGGAATCCATAACTCACAGCTTGAGACTGATTGAATAAATGTGTTTAGGTTCTAGGACTACCTTCTTTGCTTGCCTCTTTGATGTTCCCAATATGCAGCTCAAAATAAGGAGCGTTGTCATTCTGGTCCAGGATTGTGACTATACCATCCTCTGCTGTTGATCCATTTCTGTATTTAGCAATTCCTGTTAGCTGCATGAATTACATGAAGAAATAGCAGAAGGTTAGACGAGTTACTGTATGTCGTGGCTAGAATGTGATACCGACTAAATTAATTCAGACAAATCATCCCAATTTAAGTAATCATTTAATATTACAATTATTCTGAAGAGAGTAGTAGTAAAATAGGTAATCTGGTAGTTAGGGAACAGAGAACAGAATCACTCCTCCTGCAATGGAATAGATACAGTATTAAATAAGAAGATTGTCACAGTCAGTCAGTCTTGGTCGGGGGTCCAGTCAAGCCTGAGTTTGTCACCAGGCCTGGGTCCGTAAGAGCACACGGTACTGTCACGGTAGCACTCTCATCCTTTCTTCTTCCCCCTACACCCTTCAGCCTCACTGTTTTATCCACAACTTTTCTTAGGCTGTTACGTCAATTCTCGAACTTAGCTTCCTGTCTCCAGTTTTAGGAGACAACACCCGGAGATGTACCCAAAAACAGGAAACATCTTGGCCAAATTATATAAGCTCATTGTTCAGCTCACATGAACTTAAAAGTGAACCCATAAACACTATTCTATTACATAATCTATATTAACATGTAACCTAAACCACTACAGTTACTATTGGTCATTTAAAATGTAGAGGTGAAATACAGGAAAACCCAGTTACACATTAATGACTCAAGCCAGCAGATTATTAAAAACAACAGTAACATATTATAGTCTGGTGACCTCTAACAAGCATAGTAATTATAAAACAAGCAACTGAGGACGTTAAGTGATGTAGTAGGCCTATATGTAGAGTTGCAAAGTCATTAGTATAAGAGAATTAGAGTGGGTGGCTTGTACACAAACCACACGACTTTCTCTCAGGCAAGTGGTGTTCAGTTCCAATATGTATGTGTAATATGTAATGTGTCTTTTTCACCTAACCAAGAAGTTATTGTTTCTAAATCTAACTAAGTAGCTTGTATGCCTAAATGTAACAAGACAGTGACAGTTTCATAACTGTAAGAGCATATTTATGACAACAAAGTTCCAGTACACTTATTTTTGTAACTGAATGTCAAAATGTTTCCATGAAGACAAAAGTCCATACGGCTTGTGGCATACAGTGAGGAACAGAAGTATTTGAACACCCTGCGATTTTGCAAGTTCTCCCACTTAGAAATCACGGAGGGGTCTGAAATTCACATTGTAGGTGCATTCCCACTCTGAGAGACAGAATTAAAAAAAAAAATTTATGGAAATCACAATGTATGATTTTTAAAGAATTTATTTGTCTTGCACTGCTGAACATAAGTATTTGAACACCTGAGAAACAGCAAGAATTCTGGCTCTCAAAGACCTGTTACTGTGCCTTGAAAAAGTTCACCTCTACTCCACTCATTAATCTAAATTAGTAGCACCTGTCCGAGCTCTTTAAAAACACCTGTCCACCCCATAGTCAGTTAGACGCCAACTACTACCATGGGCAAGACCAAAGAGCTGTCAAAAGACACCAGAGACAAAATTGTGGACTTCCACAAGGCTGGAAAGGGCTACGGGGCAATTGCCAAGCAGCTTGGTGAAAATAGATCAACTGTTGGAGC